TGGAAGAACTGTTCCACCACCGTCATAATGCAGTCAAACATCGGCGCCGTCGTGAGTCCCAAGGGATGGATCGAGTGGATCCAAGGCGTTGAACCGCCGTCCACCATTGACTACGGCGAGTATATGAACACTGGGCCGGGGGCGGAATTGAGCCAGAGGGTGAAATGGGCCGGGTATCAGCCCAATCTCAGTCCGGCCCAGGCCTCGAAGTACACTGTTGGATCTTTCCTGGAAGTGAAGGAGAGTGCTTGGTTGCCAGTTGAGCTGGATCATGACACGTCTCTCTAACATCGTAATTATATTGAAATTAATTATCAGCCCTTATATTTTAGACTAATTACCTGTGCTGCTTCACAATATTTACAATATTACATTACGCTACCACGATGATATTCGAATTTGCATTCTGAGTTGTTGTACAAGAAATGAATATTATTAAATTATTTCCAGTACAAGAAATGAATATTATTAAATTATTTAAAAAAATAAATGTTTGTACTATTTCATTCAAAAGTTCCATCTTACATGTCTTCCATAAATATTTCCTCTTTGGAGTAAACAAGTTAGATGTACCAAAAAACAAGTTAGATTTGATTGAATGCTTTTTTTTTTTGTTTTTCATTCTACTTTTTTTTTAGTAATTCTAATATTTAAAATCAATAATTTTAAAGTCAAATGATTTTAGAAAATCAAACGATCAAGTAGTGGCAAGAACGCAAGAGCCGAAGAATGCTACCTCGAGCTTCTCTACATCTAGTGTTCGAACCACAGGCGTTTAAGAAGTTGAGATTATAACACGTGACTCGTTTATCTATGATCAAGAACTTTCATTAAATATAGAATTGAGCAGCAAATTTGNAGTCATACAGTAATTGTTTCATGCAACAATTTAACAACAAATTATATGACAATCTCACAAAGCAGAGCATTCCTTTAAAGCCATGAAAGGAGAGAGTAGAAAGGAGCAGTGTGTTGGGGGATATAATGCAAATGCAACAGGTGAAAATAACAGAGGAAAATGTTCTGTTAACTCTTTCTTTGTTTCTTTCTTATAATCGGCAAAGGACGTCTTCAACCTCTGCAGGAGTGTAGAGATGATAAACCGGGGCTACTTTCGCAATGTCAACGTTATTCGGTGTCACCTTAAACCAACACATTCACAATGAGTAACATAAAAAAAACAATAACCAACCAAATATAACCCTAGATGCATTTACGGCCCAAAACTTCATCATTAGAAAGTAAGGAAACAATGGAAGATCAGTGTGTCGTTTTTGGATTAGACCATCGTGAGTCCGAAACTAAAATTTTGTTAATCGTGACTCTTTTAGCTCCATTGGCACTAATAGTACTAATAACACTCGCCGGGTACTAATTAATAATAATACTCTGTAATACTTCCTCCGTCCCACTGTCTTTGTCCACTTACCTTTTGGCACACCATCCAATGCACTTCTTTAATCCATTTTATCTTGTAATTTGTATATTAAAAAATTATAGAAATTATATATTAATAATCTATATGTTAAGACAAATTAAACAAGATTACACATGACTATATTGAGGCTTACACATTGAGAGAATTTGATGAGTCAAAAAGCTTAGATGAACAGTTCCAAAAATCAAAAGTGGACAAAGACAGTGGGACGGAGGGAGTAGTTATTATTAGCATTATTATCGTCTTACTTTTTCTTCCATGACCTGCTTGAGGATGGTGAGTGCTATTGTTTCGGCTTCCTTCAACGTAAGGTCCTGAAAAGAAAATGAACGTTGCAGCGTTTCTAGCATCAAAAAACTCAAATATACGGAGTGGCAGTTTCGGGTTCTGGCTATAAAATGTGTGCAGAAAGGATGATGATTATTTAGAATAAGATTTGCCAGCAAAGAATATATTCAAAGTATATATGAATATATGATAGATAGATACAGACCTTGTTGTACTGTTCTTGCAAAGAGCTGTCAGCGCCTTCAGAACCCGAACCAATAGCTTTCGCGTTGCATTGCCAGAATGTACCAGATGGATCCGTGTAGTATCTGTGGGGTACCAAAAGTCCTTTCATTACCCTAATCCATTTTTTAGAATAAGCTGCGACGCGACGTAAACTATGCTATTTTAGAGTGAGTAAATTTAAATTATATTTAAAATATATAGTAGTATTCCCTATATCCCAAAATATCTTTTTCCTATTGACTTTTATGGAATTTAAGGAAGAGTTACCCCACCCCATATGTCTTTAAACCTATTTTTGTCCCAAAAACAGTCCTGTTTTTAAAACTTTACGCTGCTAAAATAAAAAGTTGCACGTTTGCGAAACGTGGTTCTTCAAATGGGGTGGGTGGAGACTGGAGATTATAACTGCAAAGAAAGAGAACTACTTACAAGCTGGGGCCATTTTCATCATGACCAGCAATGAGAAGAGATACACCAAATGGCCTTGACTGCATTAACCAAGGAAATGAAAACATTCAACATACTAATACTATGAGACCTTATAATAGCAACACTTTGTATATCCAAAGACACTTCAGTTGATCATATAGACACAAATTCCTCCAAAACTAAGTACTACCTGCTACCCCAAGATAGACTTCATAGATGAACGTGTCGCACTTATCAAGAAAATGAAATTGTTGGAGATTTATTTCGAAGTGAAGGGAAAATAAAGCACACGCAATTTATCCGTTAAAAATGAAATTTTATTGTGAGACATTCAAAAAGGTGTTTAAAAAGAGTACACAAACAGCTGAGTATCATTCCAACATTGTTATGGTTGGGGGTCAAGATGTACACCATCTTATCCTTGTTTACATAGTGGTTGTTTTCATTTTGACCCTTGATGCATCGCTGAATTTAATACCCAAAACTTCATTGAAAGGAAGAAGCAAAGGAAGTTTAAGACTGTAACTGCCTACGTAGATGAATAATACCAAGTATTTAAGTATTTTTCTCTGCCTACGTAGATGAATAAACTACTAACCATTGATTCTTCATCACCCTCACCAAACCGTAGCGCTAAATCACAGAGAGCTTGAGTGGTAGACTCAACAGTCATGGGCTCACCATAGGAGAACCTGTGATTCTAATTACAGAATTGACAAAAGAAGAAAAATCACACTTAGCTTCGTCCAGAACTTGGAAATTTCAATAGAAAGACAATATGAGGGAAAACATAGATGAAACTTGAAAGGGAATAAATCGAGGGGAATATAAAGCACTCGCTCAAATGCTATATTTTTTCTATATATTTTAAATTTCAAATACAAGCATACAATATAAATCAAACATACGTCAAAAAATTTAACACATTAATCATATTCCATTCCCCATTGTATTGTTTGAGGTAAACCCGAGCACAACAATATAAATTTCCTTAGCATTTTCTCCCTTTCATCAGCATTTTTAGGATCCAAACATGCCCTTAGTCATTAAATAAGTAGGAACAAAGAGATGATTCTATTCGTTCTATATTTGCAGCCAGCAGTTTAGTGTTACCTGAGTCTCAACACGTGCATGCTCTATGAGTGTCCTTGCATCAGCAATTAGTCCACTCATTGCACACCCAATATGTTGATCAATCTCCATAATTTTCTCCACGCTCCCAGGTTCCTGCAAATGAGGTGGAGTTATTAACTTATACTCCGTAGCAATGAATAACTAAAGAGCTTAAGCTGAATTTTTTTTATGGTAATTCTTCAGTCTTTACAACTGATTATACTACAAACAAACACCGTTGAGTACAAGAGCCAAAAGAGAAAGATTTTAGCTGTTTGGCTCAGGTTCTACGCTCCTCTAATGGTGTCCTCAACAAACCACGTACACATGCAGAGTTACTGCACTAAATATTTGGTGGCATTAATCGGCTCATTGAGCTAATTTTAGCACAGCACCGTAGATAAATAAACTAATCTCATCGGCATCTAATGCATATTTTCTACTTCCACTCAAGAACCAACACCCAAACTTGAACTTGAATTCAACCCAATTTCATAAAATCCTTAATTCAAAAGCAAATAATAAGCAAATGTACGGTCTTGGACATACGTTAACTTCAATAAACTCCTAACACAGAGGTTAACGCGTAGAGATTGATGTCTTCATTACAACAAAAAACAACAAACCCAGTAAAATCCTACAAAAAGTAGGTCGGGGAGGGTGTACGCAATCCTTACCCCAACTCAAGAGTAAAGACATTGTTTCCAAGAAACCCCAGCTCAACCATAAAAACAAAAACATAGTAAACACCGTAGCACGAGCAAAGATTGAGGTCATCATTATAAAAATGTATACTAGTACTTTATATGAATCTTACCAAGAGTGGAGAAGTGATGCGCTTCTCGACAGCAATAACAACCCCTTCTTTCGTCATTATCCCGATTGCAGTAGAACCAAGCTAAAACAGAAACAAAATCACAAAATCCCATGAATCTACAACAAAACCGAGCTGCATTTTCATTACAGTTTTTAAATTTTATATATATAAAAACAAATCTTTGGAATACTTTGATGGCTTCAATAGCATATTCCACTTGGAACAATCTTCCTTCAGGAGAGAAGGTGTTGACACCTCTGTCGTACTCGGTTCTTCATCCCCAAAAACCAAATGCAGACGAGAAGACAAGAAAAGAACACAAAAATCAATTCTTTATGAGAGAAGCTAAACACAAATCATAGCGAAGATAGTCCGGTTCAAGTCAAGAATGGATTTTTACCTCGTGAGAAACATTTTCCGGTATGATTCAGTAGAGCTTCGAAATCAAAGATCCTCTCTTTGGTGTCGGGTCGAAGGAACAAGCAAATGCTTTACAGTACCGATGTTTCTTACCCAGAAAGAAAACTGTGAAGATATGAATTGTGGAGAAATTAAATTTGGGCTGGGCTCAACTAAACCTTGTTGGGTCTTCTAGTAGTATAGTAGTCTCAATTTGAATTCTTAAAAATGGGTTGTGATCTCATTTAATTCGATTTTAATAAAAATAAGTACCCAGTAAAAAATTGAATTGAAAATAACATGAGTTTATTCTCTTTTTTGGGAAAGAAATTAGTTAATTCGTCCGAAATTTAATCCAAAATGGAGAGAACGAAAAATAGAAAACTAAACCCATAAAAGGGAAAGCAAATAAAGAAAAGAAATGTAAAATGAAGCCAAACATTTGGTGAACAAAATGGGGACAAGTGAAGTTACATGAGATGGTTATTAAAGGGAAAGCAAAAACAACTACAAGAAGAACTATTTGTGGGATAAACATTAACAAATGGTTTCCTATTGATCATCTTCTCTTGTCCTCCTCTTCCTACTCCATCTTTCTTCATCTCCTCTTCATGTTGCAGTTGAGCTGCAGCTCTCCATTCTTCCGCTTTCCGGTGAACATTCGACATTCTCTTCAACAACTTCTCTTCCATATTTGATCTCATTTTCTGAATCTTCACCTGCAAATTTTTGTTTTCACCATTATTAATACATCAAACTAAAGAAGTTGAGTTAACTTTTTGACACCATTTCTGTTGACATCTTATTCACCAATGCAGGAAATGAAACAAGTTATTAGAGATTAAGACATTAGGGTAATGAAAAAAAACCTCAAACTTTTTGGATTGAGCTTCAGTTTTTGCACTCTGGAGGTTCACCCAGGCTTGGATGTTGGCCAGTTCTCTCTCGTACCTGAAACTTGAATCAAAATCAATAATTATCTTACAGACACGCACAGACAATAACTGTCTATGTGAGAATAGATCGAATAACTGTCTGTGAGATGCAATGGGTGTCAAACTTGGTGTCACTATAGCATCGACATTCTACATTACCTTAGTCGGTTCGTGGCCTTCGCCTCTTCCTCCCACGGGCCCGTTTTCTTCGCGGGCCCGCACTCGTTGTTACTGGTGATCTCAAAGTGTCTCAAGCTCTTTGAGACCTCCTCTTCTTCCTCTTCCCTCGAGCTCCAATGGTTCGACGAAAGGGAGCCAACCTGCAGCTTTGCGGAAAAACCGCAATGCTGGGGCAGCTGAGAGATATCGAGGGCGAGAGAGGGTGGATCCAACGGTCCAGACGTGGCGGTGGGAGTGTTGTGGTGAACCGGGGAAGAGGTCTTCGCCGGAGTGTGGCATCTTGAGGTGGTGGAACTTGCCATTGGTGTCATTTCTGTCCCAGTTTCTCTGTGGCCAATGCCATTAATACCCTCAAGAATTGCCACATCTTTTGCTGCATTGTTGTGACCCCCAAACACAAACCCTTGTCTTGTGGGACTTCTTCTTATACACTCCATCTCACTTATCCACTTATCTGCATTCTCACCCACCAAAATATATATATAAAAGAATTCATGTTCTCATATATACCCTTCATATATCCCATTTGTGGATAATAAATTACTCCATATATATTATGTATAGAAATTGCTTCGGCTAGAAATTGAGGTAGTTTTTCCAACAGCGTGAGACCTCTTGGAACCCCATGGTTTAGGGACATCGCCCCTGAGAACCGTAGGGGTTTCTAAGTGTCTGAAATCATAATATTAATATTATTGAACGACGTGACAATGCCTATTAGTATGATTTCAAGACTTGGTTTCTAAGTAAATCTCAATTATTCAAAATAGCTTTAATATGACAGTAAAATCACCAAGAGACAATCTTTCAATCTTAGTATATGTGAGTTTTGCATTGAGACAATCTAAGTGAAAGACACATTTGGGGTAACATTGCTGTAAAAACAAGAATTGTTTGTTTGTTTTTTTTTACCTTTGAGAATCAAATCTGCTGATGTGGCAAGAGGGACTCCATGGGAGGGTCCTTGAAGGAACTGATGATGATGATGATGGGCAGCGGGGTAATCATTCACCACCCATTTCTCTGCATCGTCCCATTTGGAAGGGATAGATTTTCTTGAAAAATTCCCAACGCTGAAGCTGAAAACGGGCCTTCCCGGGGTGGAAGGCCCGTCCGCCGCCCCCACATTCCTCTTCCCCCTCCCGCAGCCGCCGGTGGATACCTGGAGGAGCCTCCTGCTCTCAGGCCGCGCCGTGTCACCAGAGTACAAATCCAAGAACGGGTTCTTCCCCTCCTGTTAAACATCACCCAGACACGTTAAATAGTAATTCTTTAATTTTTTTTAAAAAAAATGAAAAATGAATAAATAAAAAGTGATGAAATAATTACCATTTGAAGATCCATAAGTGTTTCTTGTGAGAATAGAACAGTGAAGAAGAAGAAGAAGAAGAAGGGAGATACAGAAGAATTTAAAGTGTGGGTGGGGGTGGGGGATAAAAACAGAGGAGAGGTCCAAATGGAGTGTACTGAAATGGCTAAAATACCCTTCTTCCTTCCTTCCTTCCTTCCCTTCCCTTCCCTTCCCCAGGGACCCACTCCTGCTGGGCATCACAAGTATAGACTGCAGACTATAGACTAACCAAAGGGATATGTCACTCTCTTAATTTAGATTACAATTTCTCATTTATAAAAAGAAAATCTTGTATTTTTTTAAAAATCAATTTATTTAAAAATCAGAATAAAAAAAACTACAATAAAACTTATACATACCTATCACATCATACTTTTTTAGTAATAATCTTTTCATCATATTTCTTTTTTACCCATCACATCAAGACAAAATTGAAAAATCAATTATAGAGTATATTTTAACCGTTTCTTATTTTTCCAAACAAAGGGATCAGAGTATATATTGATTAACCTACTTCAAAGGTTCCACAAAATAAGAAATATCAATAATATTTTATTTTATCAAATAATCAATGAAAATATATAAACAAACAAAAACTATCGATAAGTAAGTCTCACAACATTGTTATAATATACTCCGTACTTTGGAACGGAGGGAGTATATATTACTTAGTACTCGTACTTCGTATATACTAGCTAGGGAGTATTTTAAATATTATTTCAAAAAATGTATACTCCGTACATAAAAGAGTAAATAGTTAGAATTGTCCTTGGTACATACAAGGATTTCATGCAATTCACGACCATCTTGTATAGACGTCGCCAATAATTGAATACGTGATATTATTATTTTTTGACAATTTACATTACGTCTATAACTTCTAAACATTCCTACTCTTTAGTAGGTAGTATTGTATAGTAGAGTAGTAGAGGGTATAATAATTGAAGTGTTAGACTATCATACTCTTGTTGAGTGTCTTTGAATCTATAATTAAACTACAAAAATGATAGTACAAATTAAAAATAATTTTCTACACCTATTTTAAAACAAATTGAATTAATATAAAAATATTTTTAATGAGTCAATAACAATACGGAGTAATAATAATATGACATCCTAATAGGACAAAAAATATGGTGGAAGATTCGAATTTAGTAAATACTAGTCCATCTAAGTAGAAAATTCTATATATTCTCTCACACTCTAAGATCCAATGCTTTTATTATTTTTTATTCATTAAGAAAAATCTTTTTTTATTTTTTTTACAGGCGAATAAAATAATTGTATTCATAAAAATAACAACCCTTTTGTTCCCTTCATAGTCCCCCCCCCAAAAAAAAATTGTTTTTAAAAATGGAATATTTAGCTCTTAAAAGCTTTCTTTATTCTTTCATCAATTTTTTTTCCAGAAATGGAATATTTAACTCAAAAACTTTCTTCCAAACAAATTTCACACATTTATTTAAAATCAAGAAGTCAAACTATAAAGTTAATTAGGTTAAAAAAGTAATAATGTTAAAATTCATTTTTTAAAAGTAATAAAGATAGAAATTGTGTAGCACTTTCACTTGTTTGGAAAATGTCTCGTTTTAATTTTCATTTATTATTAATATATTATTTTTCTTCCTAAAAATTGTTACCAATTGTGATAGAGTCGCAGCCAACATTTTTTATCGGTCATATTGAGAGTTGAATAATTAGTGTTAATCGTCTTAAAGTCAAAAGTTGATTTTGAAAATGTGTGACTAATAATCATTTGAAACTACAACAGTTAGATTTTAGGGTTTTGTGTTGGAGGAATTTGGTTGACTGAATTAGTACAAGCTATGAATGGTTTCATCAAATTAATCTAAGGGGGTAAAATAGGGTCTCCCTTGGAAAATTTTCAGTTAGTATTTTGAATGATTTCTAAACAATATTAGATTAATTTTGAAAACATTATTATTATCTAGTCTTTTCAAAATGTTATAAAGCTAAACAGCAAATTTTGTTAATTATCAAATGGTATTACCATATACAAATTATGAATGTAACACCCTTAATAGTGGGGTGAGCATGGTACGGTATTTAGCTCGTACCGATAACGTATCAAATAATTTAGTTCGATATGAAATTTTACATCGTATCGATCTGGATCCTAAAATTTTGGTTTGGTATGGTTCGAGATGATTCGGTACCGGTTTCAGTACAAATCGAGATTAATACGTACACAACTCATTTGAATTTTAAAATGTCACAAAATCTTTAAAAAAATGAAAGTTTATTCAAATAAAGAAACACAAAAGACTTAAAAAAATAAAATTTAAATGCAAGAAATGTTAATAAACTTGGTTTATATTTCACAACTAAAGTGAACGAATGATAACAAAATGATATTTCAAAAAAAGTGTTAATATTTTAAAATGCATCTACAAAAAATTAAAACTCAAATAAAAGTACAATGGGCAAAAAATAAAATTTGAACCAAACTTTCAAAAATAAACTTATTGTTTATTGAAAAATATAAAAATATTACTCCGTAGTATATTTATAATACTCCGTGTATTAGTACATCTATTCAGTTTGGGAAAAATTTTTCTCGTGCAATTGTCATTTTTATTAAATTTTAGAATAAAAAAGTATCAAAAAAAGGAAAGGATTGAGAAGAGAGAAATATTAGTTAAGAGAAAAGGGAGAATCTAAAGAGAATATAGCAGGACAATTCAACTCATTTTGGATGGAAATTTCGAAATCAATTCATTTAATGTTTTGCCAAATTTTGCAACTCAATTTTTGAGTTTTGGCTTTTCTCTAAACTGTGTATCAATCCAAACTCTCAATCCCAATATGAATCCCTTTCTCCTTTTTTTTCTTACTTTTCAAAATAATTTTCTTTAAGAATTTATACATTTTGGTTTGTTTTGTGAAACTTTATATTCCCGTCATCCAGTATCCAAATTTTATTTAAATTTATTACTACATTCCGACTCCAAATTCATGTTACTACAGTTAAACTCTATTTACCGGACTCAGAAATGACTCTAGTTAAAATTAAGAAGAAAAAAAAAGCAATTTCTTTCTATACATTAATTTCAACCATGCAATTTTATTTTTAAATGTGAATCTTTTTTGTGCACAAAAACCCAACTACAAGTTACAATCAAATCATAGTACACTTCACATATACCCATGCAGAAAATGACAAATTACCATTATCACTGTTCCTTCACTGTTATTACCCTTTTTGAGTAGCACCACTTTGGTAGAAATTTCTCTATCTTTCATCTCTTATTGCAGCAATATTCTCTCTGACTTCATCACCCAGGAAAGGGAAGGGACATGTGAAGAGGAATCAAGTTTCCTCACTCAACATTACTGCACATATTCCATTTCACACTATAACATCTTCCAAGAACAAGCCTAAATTACAGGGGAGAGACTTTTTTTGGGGGGAAAGAATCATATATTACACAGAATCTGTCAAAGAGTGCCACTGAATTGAATCAAATATACAATTTCGCAGACGAAAGGCGAGGGGGGGAGGGGATAACCGAAACATGTACAGAAAAAATATAGGCATCTATCTATATGATATATAAATATGATATGATAGAGACAGGTGACCATCATCTTGCAAGCAAAATCATGGAACAACCATGTATCTGTGAATCCCCCCACCCATGGGAAGAATTCAAATGCAACCGCCGCCCTAAAGAATGGGGAAAAAAAACTGTAGGGGTAGCCGGTAGGGGTATACATATGACCTTCGAGAGGCCAATGCAGAACTTCCAAACTATATATGCTCAGAAGATGTGCGCAAATGAACAAACCTACAAAATTACTATTCAGCAGAGGGAGGGGCAGCGGGAGTACTCTCTTCGCACAAATCTGTCTGCAATGTGCTGGGACCCACCGCGGTGGAAGCTGACCACTGATCTGGAATCATCAGGAAATAGGTGGTCATGGCCTTCCTGAACCTCTTTTTATACTGTTTAGGTGATATTACAGTTGGCGAAGCATTCTTGGGCCCGCCTAGGATCCCAGAAGCTTTAACCCAAGTTTCCAGATGCTTGTCCCATGTGTATTGTCTCATGAAGTCGATAATTCCGAGGACCAGTTCATGCTTCTCTTCATCAACCCCGACAAGTAGAGAGTAATCCATTACATCAACTGACTGCAACAATGTGGCTAACAAATAAGTGATATTCTTCATTTCTTCTTTACTTGTAAATGCAAATACATTCAAGGGGACACACTTAAACTAGAGCCCCTTGGTGGGGGACTCATTTTTGGACAATTCATTTCAATGTGTTAGTTGAATCAGCAGATAATGAAATAAAAGTAATACCTCCATCCCAAATTAGTCTTCTCGTGTGAAAATTGCATGGACATTTAAGAGTAAAAGGAAAATCATCTTAATGTACATACCTCTCTTTTTTTTAGTTTAGTAAAAGTCAAACGAAAGGTAGTAAAGGTGTAGGTTGTTGAGGATAAAAGTGCCTTTTATTTAAAATAAGTAAAATGAAAAAGACCAAAAAATGAAATAGAAAGATCATTTTGGGACGTCCAAAAGAGAAAAGTGGGAAGATTATTTTGGGACGATAAGTTACGTTTCCTGCTGAAATGGATAAAATTAATGAAAATGGCACTTCAATCTTCATTTTAAGATATTCAGCCAATTTATCCATTTCAGCCACTACTTCAGCTGCTTTAGGCTTTACCAAATAGACTTATAACTTGGTAACTTACTGCAAGAAAAGCAGTGTCATTCCAGACAGCTCTCTCTAACACTCTCTTGGCTTTGTTTCCGACAAAGATTGGAGATGTTGGCATCGATTCAATCCAGTTTTGATCAAGCAAAACTTTGTTACTTCCACTGGAGTCAGGATTGTAGCGAGACCTGGAAGATCCCTTAAGGTCATACAACCGTGTAATCTTTCTTCCAAATAGAAGATTCTCCATTACCAGAACATCTGTTTTAGATTCCTTCCCTCCTTTAAGATGCTTTGAGGTAACCTTCACATTAACCAACAGAAAGATGCTGAAGTTTCAGATAGCCAAACAAGTCATGATTTAAAATGAAATTTAGTTGTAGTGAATATTCAGAGTAGAATAAGAAATATTTTTAAATCCCACATCCAAACATAAGTTTCTGCTACCTTGAAAATATTATTTTATTGCTTAAACATCATCTTGAACAATAGTCAGTGAATTACTGCCAAAGAGGTTCAGAATCGTGCTTTTTGCTGATAATATAGCAAAGTAACTAGGTGACATATGTCAATATCAAATAAATATTATAATATAAAATCAAATATAAGCAAAATAGAAATAGAAAACATAAGATGCAGCATATGCAAGGAAATGGATGCAAAACCCATCATTCATTCACGTGATGTGAATGTGACCTAATTAAAGAATGTTTTAAATATTTGTCCCAACAACTTGTACATTGGAGTACTAAATTCAGAGTTAGTTTTCTATATGATACTCTGAATATAAAGAAATTGGATACTGACGTGGAAGCACATTGAACTCCTGCGTCCTTTATTCGATATTCCACTTTCCTTTAACGATGTAATCAAATAGTTTTTCCACTTTCCTGTTTCGATTAATTTGGACAAGTTTGCATACAATTTTTTCAAATTGACTCTTCTATCTCTTCCTTTTCCAAAACTAATGTCATAGCAGCACCCTAGAAAACTGTGTCATTCACTTTTTCTTCTCTACCATTCCATAAATAAACTACCCTGACAATTCATTCTTAAGACCTCTGTAAGCAGTTGGAACATCTAGAAGGGAGTAGACGAAGGTAGTATTTTTTTAGAGGAAGGTAGAATATTTCTTGCTCTCTCTGTCCTACAAAAAGAGTGTCTTATTTGAAGACATACTTTTGTCCCCCCAAAAAGAGTCCAATTTGAACCAAGAAAAAGCTAATTATCATTTTATATAAAGTTCTATTAAAAAAAAGTATCCCAAGAAACTTAAATATGTTAAATTTAGTTCAACAACAAATAAATTTTAAAAATAAAGCTATAATTGATTATTTCCTGTAGATGTAACTTACTAAAATTAAGGTGTATGTTGGTGAAATAGAACTCTTATGGGACGAAGAGAGTACTATTTAACATTGGAGGTGAGAAAGCTACTTAGAAGATAAAACTAGATCTAAGAAGACTAAGAATACAATTCACTATTGTTTGTTGCTGGATCTGCACAATGACATAAAACCATAAACCTAATCTAATGTTGCAACTTGCAAATAAATCTGTGATCAGGACAAGTTGGAGTGGCCCATTTGGTCACTGCCTCCAACACTTATGACTCTCCTTTGGGAGGTCTTGAGTTCGAGTTACCGTGAAGGGGAGGTGGAGGGGTTTTTCATCAATAAACCTCTAGCCCGCTGAGTTAGCTCTTTGGTCGGATCAACTGCCGAATTGCAGATTTCTCATTTCCGGTGGTAGTGTGGGAGCTTGAATCTACTAGGAACCTGAGACGGATCTATTGAGAACCTGATGCTGAGTAAGGAACCAACACAATTAATTTACCAATCTCTATGTGACGACTCCTTGTGCGCAGAAGTGTATAGGTTACGTAGGAACCTAAGGGGCGAAAGAGTCCAAATTTACCTCTTCTAAGGCTCTTGGAGTGGGGTCTTAGAAGCTTAAGATTAGTTTGACACAAATTGGGAAACCTGATGTGTCAAAAAAACTGCAATCGGAGTAGCACAATGTAAAACGAGAACTAAGGTACCTGATAAATGCCCAGAATCTTTGCCAAACAAGTTGGACTTCCAGAACTTATTGACTCGGAAAGGTACTTGAAATATCCAGGAGCAAATTTAATGAATGATTCCAGCTCCGTCTTTGTAACTTGCTTAATAATGAATCGATCATCCAGTGTCTTTGCAAAGAAGACATTGCTCTTGCCTCCTTGGGCCCCCCATTTCTTACATCGACTAAGAGATCTTACATAATCCATCTCAGATGGACAACATACCCTCCTCAAAGCTTCAAAACGCTTTGCATAATAACAAGTCACTGTATATTTTACTCTCCCATCATCAGCAAAGGAGACTCTAGCATGCATCGCTTTTGTATATGAAAGTGGGTCCAAAGTACGAGAACCAGATAAGGACAAAATACTCTCATCAGCAGATGCAAGACTTCTAAAGGATTCAGATACAATATCATCCACTGATTGATGCAAGGTAGAGTCAACAGATTCCTTTGGTCTATCAAGTTCATTGGACACTTGGACAGAATAATCATGTGAAACCAGAGCATAAGATATAAGACTTGTGGGTTCATCATCATAAACTGGTATGACAATACCGTTAACCCCTAAAGGAAGAAGCAACCTTGCACCACCTTGTGAATCTGATCCCGGGAAGGGTGAAATATATACAGGATTGTACTCACCTATTGTGTCCAATTTCTGCGCATTACCAACTGAGAAGTTTTTGTTCAATGACCTATAGAAGTTTATGAAAGGCATCCCTAACCAGCTCACTGAATCTTCCATATTTTCTGAGCCTTTGGATGACAAGAAGGAAGGCGGAAACAATTTGAGAAGACTAAGTTCCTCTCCACTGTCTCCAGCATCCACCTTGTCTCTGACTCCATTGGCTGAAGAATCTGTGATGGCCATATCAGCACTCATACTACTTTCACCTGTCCAAGCTGCATCAAGAGTGTCGGACAAGTTTTCCATGATTGGCAACTGTCCATCAGAAAGAACTCTACGAAGGACAGAAGGATCAGATTCACCAACCTTGTTGATTACAAAGGAAAGACTGTTTGGATTCCCCAATAGATTATTAGATGCAGAATCTACGTCACTTCCTAAATGACCTTTATTGGACTGGTTGATGTGGTTGCCATTAACCCCTTCCCCACTATCATCAAGTTCTTCAGTTACTGAGATAAGATCAGAAGCACAAACACCTTTGCTTGCCTCGAGAGGAATATCTGAATCGATGTACTTTACATTACTACTAAGAACTGACTTGTCTACATCTGAAGTAGAGGCAACTTCATCAAGACTTTCTCTATCTGAACTGGCTGCAGATAACAGACGATCCCACAGGTAAGATTGAATAAGTAGCTGTCTTTTTAGTCTATTGATCTCAAAAATATCAATTGCTGGTTGGCCCTTTTTCACTTCTTTGTTAAAAATCTTTTGTAGAGATTCCTGTTAACAGATAACACCATATAAACATCAAGAGAAAAAATCCATGTTGTAGCTGTGAATAAATAAATCAGAGTGAAATTTGCACTAAATAGTACTAAAACTTATGTCTTTTTCCAATGTAGTACCTAAAACTTTTTATTCCCTAAATATTACTTGAATAATGTCCAGTGGCGGTGGACATTTACTTGAACAATGTCCAGTGGACATTGAACCGTGTTACTACATTGGGAAATTCAAACATATGGTACTACATTGGGAAAGTCAATTTGTTTTAGTACTATATAGGTAAATTCCCCTAAATCAGATCCATTCCAAATAGAATTAAGAAAGAGCATCAAAATGCAAAGTAATTGAGACCATTTGATGAACAAATAAAGTGACAATGCACCTCAAACTCTGTTTTCCCCTTCTGCAGCATCCCTTCGAGATCTGTCATTTGGTGTCTACTTTCTGGAACTTTAAAAGTGTTGTTAATAAGAGCACATTTTTGTGCTGCGAGGTTACCAATTGCGTTGAGAATTTCAGAAAACAAAAGCTCAGCCCACCCAACAACCTGTTTTGATATATTTTAAAAAAATAGTTGAGAGATATCAACATCCAAGTGTGCAAAATGCCCGGAAATTCTAAAGACGTGGTCTTAATACCTCATTTACTTCTTGTTGTATCCAATCTTGTTTCTCATAGTTGAAATCAACTTTTGGAGGTGGAAGGTACACAGAATGAACATCAATCGAAGCATACCTAAAGCAAGCAACCATTTTCCCAAAACTGCAAAAAGTAACTGAATGATTAACTTCAGAAAAATTAACAGTAAATTGCAATTCTAGGTATACATGGCACTCTGATGGCAGGCACATATCTGGTAAAAAAATATGCATAAAAAGTTAAATATAAAAATTAATATGAACAAATTGCATCAAATTCCAAACCCAAATTCAAATTTTCAGGGGGCCTGGCTACACCATGCACAGGCTTCGTCTCTGCATAATTAGGCAACATGAAATAGGTTTGCAACTAACATGAACAAATCGCTTTAAAATCCAACCCCAAATTCAAATTTTCAGGGACCCTGGCCACACTGTGTAAATGCTTCATCTGTTCATAGTTTGGCAGCATGAAATAAGCAACCTGCATGATGAAAAGATAGGTTTGCTGGGTTTTTTACTAAACAACGTCATACCCATAAAAGCGAAGGCAATCTCTATGCAAAGAATGGCCACAGCTTGCAACCCTGCTAGCAGCTGCATGGTTTGAGAAACTGAGCTCCAAGAACTTCCCGAAGGACAAGCCCCAAGCAGCATCAGACATCACTACTCTTCGAGTTGCAGGAGGAAAACCATTAAATCGTGGACACTTTAGACACCTGTGCCACATCCAGATTTTTCCTTCCCTTTCTCCAGGCAAAAACAATTCTGATAGCTTCTTTACAGAAATTGTTAGGGTACCTTGATGGTGAGTATAGCATTGAACATGTGCTTCTGATGGCATCTCACATGACCGACATCTATAACTCTGTCCATAAAGAAAAAACCAAATTAATCATAGAATAAAACTATTTCTGATGCCTTTGGTTGAAAAAATGCAAGGATAAGAGGTTACTTGATCAAACAAGTGATCTCGCAGAAAACGGCCCAACGGTTTGTCAAAGTTTCCATAGTACTTGATTCGGAAGAGATGTGATCTTTCACAAACAGTCCCTTTCCACACACACCTGGATGATAAGGAAACCAGAATACTCTGATGGTCAGATGAGGGTGGAAGAAACCCTTCCTTCAAAGGACCCAAATCCTCATGACCATGTTTTCCCTCTTGTTGCTGAACTGAATTTGAAGCAATTTGGCTAGCATCCGCATCATTAGAACCATTCTGCACATTTTTTAATACAGCACCGTGTTCCAGGGTAATTGAAGGAGTAGGAACATCAGATATGAGATGGTCCCTTAGATCTTCAAAAGTATTATTTCCTACTAAAGATTCTTCCAGGGAAGATGTTATTCTCTCATCTGGTACATGAGAGAGAGAGTATTCATCTGAGATAGATTTTGAAGTAGCCTGCTCTGAAGATGATGTAACAGATGGAAGTATGCAGTTGGGGTTAATAGTGTCATAGAGGGTAGCAACATCTGTTGTCTCTGCCTTCTGAGCACGACTGGCAGTTTCCATATCAACAATGGGAACACTGAACGACCTTTGTGGCTCGCTACTAGGCAGGGGTCCCTGAGTCTTTTCACCAAAAGGGATTGTGAAACCAGGGATTGTTGAGATGGACCTGCCAACAGTTGATGTTTTATCTGGAAGTGCCACAGTAATTGGAGAACTTAAAGGAAATTCAGGAAGAGAGGCTCCTTCATCTGCAAGAAAAGATGTTTCAAGAGCCAAGTGGTAAGCAGCAAAAACTGAATATTGCACTACATGCTTTGCTTTCTTCAACTCATTGATGTATGCGCCTCGGAGTAATACCTGAGTCAAACACAAAAAGAGAACTTGTAAAGCACTAGGCACATTCTATAAAACGTTGCAGCTAAATACCAGTAACGTAAGACAAAACAAGAAAATTTGGGTAGTTAGTTTGAGAGGAAATTCAGAGTTGAGGTCCAGAAATTTTCTAGAGAATCTTATAAGCTAAGAATATTGTTTGGAATACACACCGACTATTATATACATGCATGCATGCATATACATAGACATATATATACACACACACACACATACATACATACATACATACACACACACATACATACATACATACATACATACATACATACATACATACATACATACATACATATGTATTTATTTATTTATTTATAAACCATAGGAAAAGGAAAACAATTTTTCAGTCCTGGAGCATGGATGAGAGATTGAGAGGTGGCAGGGGAATAGAATTTATGCTAATTCCATGTGCGAATAATTTGGCACTTAACATTTTTTTCCCAACATTTTTATAAGTTATAACTGCACCTGTAGATTATAGCTAATAACTAACCGTGCATCCTAATGGCTTTGGACAACCTTCAAAGTACATCAGTGTCTTCATCTTCTTTCCACTCCTCCCATCTGCATCATGCTCTTCTGCAAACTTCTCGACGTGGAATAAGTCACAGTATCCTAACTTCTGCGACGATAGATGATCAATTGAAGGAACTATCTGACCACCTGTGCAACGGACAATACGTTCCAAAAGTGGCTTTTTGATATTTAAAACAAGTGATATATCCTTGGCTAGAAGGTACTCTTGTGCATAGCGAGAAACAGATTTCTCCACTAATAGGACATCTGGTTGGTGTGCATCTATTTTTGCAACAGCCATCTTGAGATGATCCATTTCCTTGATTCCCAAAATACAAAAGATCATTTAGATTTAAGATTTTGACTATATGAGTATGTACAGAAGTAATAGGTGAAAATCTTTTTTAGCACATTGATGCAGATAAAATTGAAAGAATGCATTCACAATGCTAACCTGCTGCAACAAAGTATCGACACTTGACAAGAGGTTAGAAACCCGCTGGTATTCAAGAGCCCCACCAAGGATCAATATGCGAGGTTTCTCTATTTTTGATGCCATGCGTCGGTGTGCCACATTTTTCTTGCAAACAACTCCTTTGACCACAACACTGTTCAAGGAGATAATATATTCATGTGACAACAAGAGGATACATTCAGGTTGATGTATCTACAATGGTGCAAAATGCCATATCAAAACTATGCTTCACAAAAAGAAATGAAGTGTTTGAACTATGTGTCAAGGTACAGGCTATAACCTCACAAGAAGATTATTTGTAACTAAGAAGCAGTTCATTACACTACACAGTATATATTTAGTCCTAGAAATAATGACCGGACAGTTTGTCAGTATTTTCCATGCTTCTTAAAGTTTTGGTATGTATTATTCATCACATTCATAGAGTATATTCCTGATAATGAAGCAAATAGCTTAGATGAGGCTTGTCCCTAAATTTTTTATTTAAGGTACTCCAATTCTTATCACATACTCCCTCAAATCACACGAGTTTGCAAAAATACTCCGATATTCGTTTAATGACACTAATGCTCCCAAAATTTTCCTAGATTAACATCGTTGCTCCGAGAATTCATATATATTTACTTCTCTGCTCGTATTGATGTCATGTCTCGGAGTATTTATGAAAGCTCGTGCAATTCTGGGAGTATTGGTGTGAATTTTTCTGGTGTGAATTTTTCCTTTATTATTCACAAGGTCAAACCATGTCTTCTTTCATTACAAATTTTCATTGATCATTTGTTCCAATAACATAGTCAAGCAACCACTTGCTTTGTAGAACTTTCGATGCAAATTGTAAATATATAAATTTTGCTTTAAAAATTTACACCAATATTGAAATAAGTGAAATTGAAAATAACTTCAGTTAAGGATCCTAAACAACAATGTCAAGTTCTTTTTGGGACGGAGGGAATGCTAGATAAGCTTCTCAGATAGCTTCTGCTCAATAGGACATTTCAAAAAATCGTGAACATTAACTTCATTTTTCCTGTTTAAAAGCAGTTGCTATTTGTATCATGACTTCACAAAATAAAATACAATCTTGAAAATGCCAGACAGGTACAAAGCTAACTGCTTATCTCTTCCTACCAAATTTACCCTCGCTCATGAACTCACGTCGCTAACATTTAACACACGTTTTCCAAGGTGTTGCATATTTAAATTTGGAGTAACTAGAAAAAAGGTAATTAATGCTCTACATTTTTTTCTAAATGATGTATAAAAAGGAATGCCAAAACAACTATAAGTGAACAGTACAGCCTAGAGAGGGAGTATAACATGCTGAAAGAGCATTATGGACAAGAATGTATAGCTTCATGTATATAGCCTTTACCTGTCTCTGCAACGTCCAGAAGCTATACACTTGACCTTTACGTATCCACCAGGGTCCATCCCCCCGCCCTTGCTGGTGTCTGGCTTTAAAAAAGTTGCAGCCTCCCATGAAAGGGATGTAATTATGTCCAGCCAATTATCCTTTTCATCTTCCAAGCCCAACGAAAGATCCTCAACCTGCATAAGCTGAGCAACTAATGCCCTGAAGTGCCCATCAACCACATGCTTTATGGTGTTCTTATGCTCTTCATTTGACTTGTCTTTATTTTTGAACTCCCCACTACCAAAACTGCTAGAAGCACGAAGAGTTCCCCATTCTCCAGCAGCAGCAACATCGTAGTCGTCATCATCAAACAAAAGTGCTTCCCTTTCATCTTCTTCATCTTCAGGTTCAGGAGGAAGCCAAAGTACACCATTGTTCTCAAAATCCACAGGTTCAACATTGACATTCTCGGCTACATACAGAGATGAAGATGTTTCACATTCATAACTAATGTCAGGTTCAATTTCCTTTTTCATAATCTGCTGAACTTCTTCGGATGTCTGGGAGTCCATGCTATTATGCACAGAGGAGCTGCTCATGCTTTTTGTATCAACAGCTTCTTCATCACGATGGACTTTTAGTGATCCAAACTCACCACCAATGCCATCAAACTGGATGTGATCATAGTAGTCATTTCCCTCAGATGCATGGTTTCTTTGGGAACCTAGCTGGTAAGCACCATATTCTTCTTCTTCATGCCTGAATTCCAAAAAAAGAGCAATAAACTATTCAAGGGCTTACTGCATGGTTGATCGAGTAAATTTAAGGATTATAAAGTCCAACATTCATAATTATCATTCTGATAATAGTTATAACAGCAATAACTACAAAATTTAACAAATTAGTAAAAAATTGGGGAAGGCACCACAGAAAGATAAATACTTAGAGTCTGTATGAAAGAAACATTATTTCCAAGAAACTCCAAAGTAGATATCTTCAAAAAGGCATGTTTTACATGAAAATAAAACTAGTTCGGCCAAACACGTTATGTGCCCGGTGCCACCGGTGGTAATTTTGAGTAATAAGAAAACATTCTAAGACTAACAAACTCAACACATTAGTCAAATGCATAGTTGTTACGGCGGCTAGGCGAGGCTGGGCGCTAGAGCACCTTCCAATTGCCTAGGGGATTAGGCACCCGCCGGGCGAGTGGGTTATGGCAACCATAAAAATTTTATAGGTACTAATGTTAACCTCTTCGAGCGACTCCCGTTGGACACACACACACACACACACACACACACACAGATATATATATATATAAGCCTACTCCTATAAAGGGAGCTTTTAAAAGGCCTATTAAATTTTGGGCCTTATACTCTTGTGTAAAGGTCCAATAGTCTTTTAATGAACCTAGCCCAGTTATTTGACCTAGTCTACTAGTCTAAATGATAGAGAGATAGAAAGACACAGAGACTGGAGCCGCTGGAAGCCGCTGCGGACCGCGACAAATAATCGGCAAGAAAGATAAGTCTTCATTCGATCTCCTTCTCCGTCTTCTCTCTCTATCCCGCGCGTTCCCTTGCGCTTATAAAACGTAGACGTGTATCCGATAAAGTCACTGAGTTGCCCAGGGGAGGCGGCCAATTAGGCGTCCACAAAGCCTCGCCCAGACGCCTAAGCGTCGCCTAGGCGACGCCTTGATAACTATGGTCAAATGTCAAACTCGACCAACAGATATTGATCACTTAAAAACACAATACTGAGGCAATAAAATTGGAATTTCTTAGAGTTATACACAACAAAATAATAAGAAAAGATGTAAAAAATAAGTACCTTGGAGTGAAAAATGGGCATCCATCTGAAGAGTGGTTGCAAACTCCCATATCAGCATCAGCGAAATGAGAACTGCCTCTAGCTGATGCGGAACTCTTCTTGTCTATAGTTGACTCCATGTTTGTTGACTGGCCTAAGCTAAGTTCGGTACCAGAATACGGCATTGATGCAACTGTGATGCCACTGCTGTTACACGTACCGCTGGATTTGAAGCTAATAAAACTGGTTTCGGAAATAGAACTACTAGATTCCAAGTTGACAGCCGGATGTCCATTATCAGCTGTTGATGCTGCTAACCCTTGCTCCCATTGCTTGAAACAGTAGTTGCATGCCCTGACCTTCTCCCTCTCTTCCCCCTGATGAAGTGTGCTTGGCTGCAGACTGGGCAATGCCGGAACTCCATTAGATGTGCACTTTGCACAGAAAACCCGGCCGCAAATCCGACAATGGTGCCTACGGTTGAACAACGTGAACTGGGAATCACACTCATAACATACCATACAGCTCTGATCAGGCATCCAAAAATCCCTTGACACATTAGCTGGTTCAGACCGCCAAGGGATCCAAGACTTCAGTAGACCTATGATGTCGAGGAATGTCCTATCCAAGGAATCCATCTACGCAATAATTCTTGTCTGTGTCTCATTGTGTTATAATGCTCATTTGCTGGCTAAAAACATCACCTCACTCCTGACCCAACCAACCAGTCAAAAGGAAGACAATCCAACAAACCCCTAATCAACCACTCAATCGAATTCACCCCCTGATTAACCAAGAATCTAAACAACTCCCGTGACTAAGAACCCTATCAATAACAGCAACAAAAAATACCCGATCACCATCATCAAAACAATCCTGTCAATAGATCCCAACTCTGAAATTCCTAATCAATACCGCCTCCAATCGATTTAAAAAAGTCCTAAAACACGAATCCACCTCTGAAATAAAGCGAAAAGACCTGAAATTCTAACCGGGGAAAGATAAAATCAGGAGAAAACACGCATTTCTGGGCGAAAAAATGCCGTCCAGGCGCGTAAATCGGTGAACGGATATAAGAAATCTCAACGATGAAGAACCCGCGGTGGCCATCAATTAATCATCCGCCCTGAAAAACAAATTAAAATATCAATCATTATCTAGCAAAACACGCGCTCGTTCTAGACGATTAAACTAATAAACTGGTGGGAAATTGGGCGTGAATTGATGCAGCTTGAAAGCTGAAAAACGTCAAGAATCGGAAACAAATCATTGTCGAGCGAACCATGCAAAAGATAGAATAGATAGCAGCTCTGCGTGTATACCTGCCTCTTCAAAATTCTTCCTGGATTTCAATGCGGAGGAGTATTATTGGTAGGCTATAAAATGGTCATTCTTTTCTTTAGTTAAGGAAATTTGATAGAAAATAAAAAAACAAAGACTTGTGGTTCAGTGTGCTAATTTAACGGGGTGGGAGTGTGTTCGGGTCAAGTAGGGTGGGTTTAGTGGGAATACCAATCGTCAATTTTACGAACGGGATACCATAGAAACCTGAGTTATCCCATGATATTATCGGGCAATGTCACATGAACTGACCCGATAAAAAAATAAGAAACGTAAACTGCCGATAATAAAAGAGAATAATATCTAAAATGCAACTTAATAACTACGGAGTATGTACTTTTCGAATTACTTCTCAATGTAATTTTAAATATTTATGTGTTTTTCAAACTAATTCTCAAGATGAAATAATTATCGAGATGATAATATTAATTGAAAATAATGCTCAGTCTAGTCATTTGACTAACGGTCATCAAAACAGTTTTAAAACTTATATTAATTTACCAAAACGGTGTTTACAAATAGGTGTTTTTCAAATTAGTCTATTTTCGGAATAAAAAACTCAATAAATATGAAAAAATAATTTCAAATTTTATGAGATGAGATTATAATAAATAAATTACATAGATCTCTATGAATCACTTTCAAAGCCTCATTTGGATCACCCTCTAGTCATACTCTCTAACTCATAAAATTCTGGTTTTGCTAGAAAATCAGCTACATTATTGCCATATCTACTAATATATCCAAAATCATGCCATTTAGACTAATACATTCACGAAGCATATCTTTTAAAATTAAATCTAAGAAAGAACTTAGTCGTTCCCTCTCCTTGAGCTTCACAATGAATGTTGCACAATTTCTTTGAGTTTAGAATACATTAGCCTTTTGGCCTCTTGAATACCCAATAAACAAGGCTCCTATTCCTCTACCTCAAGACCCTTAAAATCCTTATTTTATTTTGCACCCATTTGCCACAACTTGTCCTTCCCAATTCCGAATGATCGAACCCCACTCACTTCTTTAAGGCCCATTTTTACCTGTGTCAAAATTAAGTTTTCACCCACCTCACTCCGAACGTATGGTGGATTCTAAGTGCTCTGTCATTAGACATCAATCATAGTGGTCTCAATCCTCCCAATTTCAGATTTAGTAGGGAGGGCCTTTCTACAAGCTTTCTAACAAAACATCTTAACTCCACGAAGAACATTAAGACACTAGAAAATTTCCATTTTTTCTGTTTCCTTGGGGAACATACAACTTCACCTGCCAAAATCTTTGTCACTAGATGATAAGCAGATTTAACAAGAATATCCCTAAATAGCAAAAAAACAATGGAAGAAAACAATTTTGTCTCCCAAGGTCAAACAAACTATGGCATGATCTATGTGTGATTGATTTTCAATAGAATATGCTCCATAATTAACTTTAGTAATTACCAGTTACAATATATTTACAGACACAATCTTCCGCAGTCTTTAGACATGTTTATTTTATTGACTTTTATACATAAAATGGTTATCTGCAGTGGCATTATCAAAAAGAAAATTTATCAATGAACCCATCAAAAATATGTGAGAAGATATACATTTCACATGTGAACCTTACGACCAGAATAACACAACTCATATTAGCACCTCACACGGATTCAAATCCTTAAATTTTCACACTATCCAAATGCACCACTTTGAAAAATAAAAAAAGTTATTTTTTATACCAAAATAAAAATCTTCTTTGTTATCACAGGATCAAATTATATTTATTTTTACGTAGTTTCATTGATTATTTGATAAAATAAAATAATAATGACATCACTTATTTTGTTGAATTATATAATTATACGTAAGAGTTGGTTCAAATGAAGATGATCTTTACTATGGGAATAGACCTTATCGTGAAAATGGTGCATGTTTATGTCGTCACGATGCATTTTTACATTTTGGTAGTGCATTTTTGGCACTGGGAGTAAAGTTCAACTTATTTTCCATAATGCCACCATGTTTTTTCAGATTTTTTCAGTTTTTTTTTTGAATTTTTCAAGCTCTTAGATATTACATCTAATGCACTAGATATATTCTTATTTCTTTAATTAGATCAGATTCTCAATTGAGCCAAAATCATTATATATATAAATACACACACACACACTAATTTTTAAGTATATTAAAATTTGGAAACAACTTCGATCAAATACGATAAACCAAAAATGACATTAGTATGATTTTTTGGGACAGAGAGAATAATATTAGTTTATGATTAAATTTCCAAATGGCACTCAATAACAATGGTACTTGTTAGTGCTCAATTTAATCCCTTGACTAGCGGTCATCACAACAGCATCAGAACGACGTTAAAACATCTACTAATTTCTCAAAAGAGTAATTTCTAATTAGGTGTTTTCTCAAATTGATTCATTTTAATATATATTTACAATTTCCCAAAATGGTCCTTTATAAAGTTATATTTATATTTTATTTATTATATTATCATTTTATAAAATTTGAATTTTTTCATATTCAATTAGTTTTCATTTCGAAAATAGGTCAATTTGAAAAAAAATAATTAAAAAGGACAATTTTGGGTAATTAGTATAAGTTTTAAAGCCGTTTGACGACCATTATTCGGGAACTAAACTGTGTATTATTTTCAATTAACGAGTATCATCTCGATAATTAATTTATCTCGGAAAACACATATAGTTATTGAGTTTCATTTTGAAATCTTAATTTATCATGGCTCAAAAGCCTTTGTTCCATCAGATTTATTGGGGTCTCTTGCGGGGAAGAAGCTTATTCCTAAGATCAACACCATCTATTTCATCAAAATGATGAGTTTCAGGAATCCAGTTTCCACTCTTTGGATCTCTCATCCAGAAAATCGGCCCCTTCTCCATTTCCCCTCCCTCGCCGCCACTCAACCTCGCTAGCTCCTCTGCCATTTTTCCGATCGACGCCGATGATGAGGACTTCGCAATGGTGGGTAATTGCCCTTTCAAGCTCTCTGACGCAACCATTGTATAAGTTCTCCTGTTAAAGAAGGCATTGTTTTAAGCTCTCCATATTAACAAATGGAAACTTTTGCTTACTATATGTGTACTAAGGTCCATAAACTAAATTTGGACTTTAGGAATATACAAGAATTTGCAAAGTTTAAATTAAATTAAATTGCTTCTGTTTCATTCTTCCTCATTAATTTTATGGGAAGATTGTATAAAATAATTGTAATTTTATCCGATCTTTCAAAAAAATCTCGTCTTCACAGTGATGCAATATTGGAGCATTAACTTTCCTAAAACTTGTGAGCTTTGGGTCATCATTAAGTTGTTAACGACTAGTTAACAAAAATGACATGTTTTGCGCAACACAATAAAAGTTGCATTTATTTATTTATGAATTTTTTATTTTTTATTTCTTGAAACTTTCTATTTACTTTATAAAATGATATTACATTCTACCTCCATCATTTTTTAAAACATTACTCTTACATAAAAAAATTAAAAAATAGATATAAAAAATAAAGAAAAATGAGAAGAAAAAAACTAAAATCATACAAAATTAATGAAATAAAATGATACCAATAAAAAACTAGCCACAAACTAATAATAAATAAAACTAAAAATATACGGAGTGGTAGGTTCTAACGTTTTAGGCACATTTTAGTCTTACATGAGAAAAAATATTAAAAAAATAGATGTAAAAATTGGAAATAAAAAACATTATTTTCTTACTTTGACGTAATTTCATCTTAGTTATTTTCGTAACAAGAAAAAGTTTTTTTTTTATTTTTTTAGGGTTTTAATAAGAAAATAATTTTTTTACTTCTTATTTTAAAAGTATTATTTTCATATATTACCAATAGGAAAAAGTAATACATCAGTACTTTGTATATTGCATAAAATGTTATAACCCACCACTACGTATACTTTTAATTTTATTTGTTATAAATTTAATTTGAGGTTAGTTTTTATTGATTGCCTTTTTATTTCATAAATTTTGTATAGTTTTAGTTGTTTTTCTTATTTTTGTTATTTTAATATATATTTTTCCTAGGTATGACTAATCCTTAAAAAAGAAAAAATGATTTAAGTGCGACTCAAAACTCACAAATTCCAATAAAGTTGAGATTAGTGTGTATCAGAGTGAGAGGTAAATTATTTTCGAAAGACTAAATTATGTAGGACATTTTTGCTTGGATAATTTTTCCTATTTTTTATTATTGAAAATTGCTCGTAATACAAAGTATGTAGTTAAATAAACTTAATTAAAAGTAGTTTAATTTCACATAAAATTTATAAATCAAGAGCTAATAAAATTCTTACTTGAAAAGTTGGAGGGGGTTGGTGATGAAGAATGTTTTCTTGGAGGACATGATCTTGGACGTGGTTATAAATAAATCTTAAACCAATAATGTTTGGTTGATGAAATAATTATAAGTATGTATAGTTTGACAAGAAGAGAAGGGTATGGACAGAAGGTTTAAATAATATAGTTTGGGAGTGGGATTAAGAAGAATAAGAAGGTGTTTGCCGGGTGAGCAATTTCATTCCTAGTTATCACCCAATATTTTGGGAATACTATTATACTACCAAATCTTTTTTTTAGAAACCAAACACATAATCCTAGCTGGATAAATTTGCATGTGATTCGAATATTTCCAGCAGAATTATTCCATATGGGCGCCCATATTTCTTTGGTAAAATACCATATATATATAAAGATATATATATGTGTGTCTGCGTGTGTGTTTAGGAGGAGGGTTAGGGGGTAGGAACCGTCGTTTTTACAAACGGAGCACCGTAGCCCGTAGGTAGGGGTGGACACGGTACGGTTCCGGGACGGTTCCGGTTCCGGTACCGCCACCCCATGTCACCGGAACCGTCACCGTGCCGGCCGGTACCGGACCGGCCGGGTTCGCCCCCCCCTATTATTTTTTTTTGCTTTTTTTTAGATTTTTAAAGTATAAAATTGTAAATTTGCAATTGTTTAAGGAAAGAATGAAATAAAAAATCTAAAATGTAGTTGTTATTTAAATATTGAAAATGAGTAATATACTGACTGAAGAACAACCACATTTAATATCCTGACGGTTCAATAAAAGCGACGAGGTAAAGAACCGTAAAGAAATCCTCGAAGGAGCTTATATATCGCTCACCTAAAAAAACTAATTACATATTTACATTAACATAAAAAAAATTTATAACTTATTCTTCAGAATTCAGACATCCATCTGTGGTTGCATTCATGTAATGCTTCGATTTGAGTTTGTACGATGACTCTTGAGCCCGACGTCTTGCCAAGAGCCAATCTTGGTTGCAAACCAGTGTTTCAAGAGATTCAGCGTTAAGACAACTTCGGTAGTCGGTTAGAATGTTGCCGCCAGCACTGAATTCTCGTTCAACTGCTACGGTTGATACCGGGACGGACAACACTTGTCTTGCTAGCATGCCGAGACATGGGAACATGTGTTCGTCCCGCTTCCACCATCCGAGCACGTCAAAATCGACGTCGTCATCATTGTAATCGCATGGAACACCCCGGTACATAGCAAGTTTGTTGTGCGAGCTTACTGTTGTACCACTTGAACTCGTCGAAGACTGGGCACGCTTCCCTTTCTTTGCAAGAAGGCCACCGACTATTCCGACAAAACCTTTTTTTTGATTTCGGGGGCAGAGGTGGTGCTGTTTCTTCTTGTACAGTACCGTACAACCCTTGATATTCCTTAAACAAATCCTCAAAAAGAGTTATAGCATTATCTCTTTCATTTTTCCATTCTACTAAATAGCCGTAGTAATAACTATTTTTATCTAAAAACCAACTGTAGTAATACTCAATTAGAATTTTAAAATTTTCAATCTTATAATACCTATTTTATAAATATCAGGAATGTACAAATAATAAGTACACCATTTATCTGTCATAGGAGAGACATAAGGGTACAAATCTGGATCAGCCATACTTTCACGAAAACATGTTGTGATTGTAATGCACTCTTTAAAAAATGTATTTGTAGTTGGTTGGTAAACATGGAAAAAAGTAAGAGTTGCGTTATTAAAACTTCTAATACGGCATTCAATTTTTCAACAATAACAGATTCAAAAGGATTAATGATTATACGAAGTTCATCCCTAAAAAATTCAGCAAGTTCCTCTTTATATCTCAGGATCTGTGTAATCAATTTGTAAGTACTATTCCATCTAATGTTGATATCTCTTGCAAAACTTATTTCTTTTTTACCCTTAGACTTACATAAAATCTTCCAGGACCTCGAAATAAGACGAGCCCCCCAAATTTTTTTAATTCCTTCTTTAATATTTGTCAAAACTCTGCCCATAGCTTCTAGTCCCTGTTGAACACATAAATTTAAAACATGACAGGCACACCGTTGATGCAGAAATCTACCCATAGTCGTAGACGGTGGGCAAATTTCTCTAAGTCTAGGAATAGCAGCAGTATTACTAGTAGCATTATCAAAACCAAATGAAAAAACTTTTTCAGATAAGTTATATTCCCACAAAATACTCTGAAGTCTGAAGCAATAGAAAAATATTTTCAGCAGTATGCTCATCATTGAAATCACGAAATGCAAGAACACGTTTATGCATAATCAAATCACTATCTATCCAATGACAAATAACACCCATATAAGACAAATTATGATAAGTTTCACTCCAAATATCAGAACAAATAGCAACACGAGAATTAAAATTGAGAAAAAAATTTGCCAAATTAATTTTTTCCATTTTATACTGGCGAATAATTATACGGTACCGGACGGGCCGTAGGTACCCCAAACGAACTGGTGTAAGCAAATGACACCAGTAGCACTAGTGTCATTTTAGACTTACCGTGTGTGTGTGTCTATATATATATATATACACACACACACACACACATATATATAGAATATCAAAATATGAATGTCATGTTTTAAATCTCCAAAACTTTCATTTAAGCTCGAGGTAAGCTCTTAAATAGATTTAGCGATTAGATTGTTTATATAATTCGTTTCTACGTTCATAAACGGTCGTTTGGTTGAGTTTTGTGTTTGTCATGCTTGAAGAAAACCAAGAATCATTAACCTTGAAATTGTTGTTAAACTAAAAGGAACTGGATGAAACTAGAAAAAACTGGAAGGAACTTTAAAAAACTGAAAAACTTCAAAAAATTAGAAAACCTAAAAAACGTTTTAAAAAGGTTATTTTAAATTCTTGTTGTTGTAAATTATTATTATTATTGTTATTATTATTATTATTATTATTATGATCATCATCATCACGTTATATTAATGAATACCATTACGATACAAAAAAAGTATTGTTATTTTTCAAATACAAAAAACTACTTTTGCAAAAAAAAATTAAATATAAAGTTAGCATAAATATAAAAATAAAAAATTTTAAAAAATTTTTGTGGTTATGTTGTACCTCAATTTATTTATGCAGTATTCATTATAAATAATATATTTGTCATTATACTTTATATATTACAAGATTTTGTTTTAAATATCAGACATGTCACATAATGTATTCAAACCTATTTTTCTCTTTCATGATTGACATTTTATTTTCATTGAAGTCCTATTTTTGGAATAAAGACATAGAACTTTTTTTTACATTTTTGTGTTTTACTCATATTTTAGTCTTTTTCTCTAAACTATTTTGACTCACAATTTTTTATAAAGATTAGAAAGATGAGCAAATTTTAAGTAATAAAAGGAAAGATGAGAGGTTATATAAAGTTAGATTAATAAAACATTCTATGTCACTATTTTATCCATAATTTTTTAATATAGTTTAACATATTGATATTTTCCTGTTTTATCATGTAGATTAATATACAAAAAATTGTCTTATTCATATTAAAAAGTTGAAGAAAAAAAATAATGAGTATGAATCGTAAAAATAGTGAGATGAAAAAATAATTTATAAACTATATTTATGAACATATCAATTGTAATAATAATAATAATAATCACATTAAAAATATATCGTTTTTGAGTAATTGGTTGGAAAGTAAAAAGAGTTTGAAAAAAATGAGAATAGTTGGAAGAAACTGGAAGGAAGTGAAAGAACTGGAAGAAACTGGAAAGAATTGGAAGAAACTAGAAGTTAAAAGTTCAAACTCTAAAGAACAGACTCTAATTCGTTAGCAAACTGGGTTGCCACCAATTAATATCCACGTTTTGAAAATATTTTGAGTAAATCATACACCACACTTAAAATATAAACCATCAGAATAATTATTTTAAAACACTAGAGAAGCCTTTGAAAACAACATCACAAAATAGTCTCGAAATAAAAATAGATAGTTTAGCAAGTAGATAAATTAAAATAAGATAAGATTGCCATCCACTTCACGACACATCAACGACCGCCTAATCTAATTTTGTTCATTCATACATGCGTGCAACAAAAAGCAAACAAAGATTACACGTTTATTTTGGATTTGTGTGATAATATATCTAACGTTAGAAGCATTTTAGAGAACAATTCCACATGCATCTTGAGACATAGGATACTATGCACACAATACATACATGGTCAATGCCATTTAATTTCTTCTACGAATAGTTTTATATTTGCTCTTAACATACGACAAATAAGGCCCAACTGACTCACTATGACTCGTGGACATCCAAGTGCTCTATAGTGCCACGTACACTTAAACCTCAGATAGGTCACGAACTTCCATACATTTATTTTCAACCAAAGATAATCAAGTGTGCGATGATGCCCCACATGTCATAAGACCTAATTCGAGTCGTATCGGTAATTCCAAATCATTTGATTCAATTCCGATTCGTCCCACATCTTATCTTATTTTTATTTGGCTAATAGTATGGGTGCCCCCGTGGGTTACACAAAGGATGTCAAAACCCCTCTAGTTTTAAAAGTTATTTGTTTAGTCCCCGTGGTTTCTAAATAGAACACAGACACCCCTTTTTATAAGTTTAGAATTAAAATGACATTTATGCCCTTTGTTTTTCTTTATCTTGAATATCCACTTTTTTTATTTTCCTTTATTATATAAATAATTAAAATAAAATATACGCTCTCAAATTCAAATAAAAAATTTTCATTTATGTATATTTGAAAACAAAAGATTTCTTTTAGAGAATGTTACAAAAGTAAATGAAAAATAAAAAAATTAAATAAAATATAATGTATGAAGTATTCCGTAAAAGAAAAATAATAATTGAAAAAGGTAATCAACTTGTGGGCGCAATTGAAGGGCGACCTTCCAAAATGACAAGTTGAAAAAGGAGAGGTAATTAACTTTTGACTTTGGAGTCAAAATTTGATTCGAAAGTCAAAATCAATTTGTGGGCGCAATTGAAGGGCGTGAGGGGTGTGTTTAGGTCAGGACGGGGTGGAGGGTTTACCGGGGGTTAGAGGGGTAGGAACCGACAATTTTATGAACGGAGCACCAGAGCATCCCTGG